TAGACAGACTGAGTGAATGGTCCAACAAATGGCTGTTGAAGTTCAACCCGAGTAAATGCAAAGTAATGAAACTAGGTGGTGGAAATAGGAGGCCAAACACAGGATACAGAATAGGAGATGAAGTACTTAATGAAACGAACAGAGAGAAAGATCTAGGAGTTGATATCACACCAAACCTGTCTCCTGAAGCCTACATAAAAAGAATAACGTCTGCGGCATATGCGAGGCTGGCTAACATCAGAACAGCGTTCAGGAACTTGTGTAAGGAATCATTCAGAATCTTGTACACCACATATGTAAAACCAATCCTGGAGTATGCGACCCCAGCATGGAGCCCGTACCTTGTCAAGCACAAGACGAAGCTGGAAAAAGTCCAAAGGTATGCCACTAGACTAGTCCCGGAACTAAGAGGCATGAGTTACGAGGAAAGGCTGCGGGAAATGCACCTTACGACACTGGAAGACAGAAGAGTAAGGGGAGACATGATCACAACCTACAAAATCCTCAGAGGAATCGACCGGGTAAACAAGGATAAACTATTCAACACTGGTGGGACGCGAACAAGGGGACACAGGTGGAAACTGAGTACCCACATGAGCCACAGAGACGTTAGAAGGAACTTTTTCAGTGTCAGAGTAGTTAACGGATGGAATGCATTAGGCAGTGATGTGGTGGAGGCTGACTCCATACACAGTTTTAAATGTAGATATGAGAGAGCCCAGTAGGCTCAGGAATCTGTACACCAGTTGATTGACAGTTGAGAGGCGGGACCAAAGAGCCAAAGCTCAACCCCTGCAAGCACAAATAGGTGAGTACACACACACACACACGCAACACTGCCTCCCAGACTCTTGTGTTCACCTACATACTATCAGCACTCTACCTATTGTGAGGTTCAGTCCCTGAGCCCACTATGTGCCTCTGTAACCCTTTCCACTACCCCCTACAACATGGGTACAGGGTGCATAATAAATGAACTTTATCAACTAAATGTAGCTATTTTAATTTTTATAAATTAAAAACATCCTTTTTTCCCCAACAAAGGCTGTCTGTGGAGGCTTGCAGTCCCAGCATTGTAATTGTCTGGCCACGTCTGTGGTAGAAAATAATAATAATAATAATAAATCATTAACTCGTCCTCGACTCAAGTCCATTCCATCCAGCGGTCGACCCCACAGACGTATTCATCAATTTTAACATGATGTTCATTCAAAACGGGAATTTTATCAAATATAAATTAATATTATAGTATATTAGCAAATTGTGCATATATAGGCATAGGTTAGGTGTTTAGGTTCTGTTGGCGATTATTTGTATTTGTAGTACGTGTGTGAAGCATTTACAGCGTTGTGGTTCGAACAGAGGACGTCAGTGAAGCACTTGTTCCGGAAGTGTTCGAAAGGAATGTTGTGAGTCGTGTGCAAACCGTTTTTCATTCCGGGGGGGGGGGGGGGGTTGGCGGGTGGATGGAATCACTTTGGGTCTTTGTTAGGAGGACGGGCTGTGAGAGGCGGGGCTCCACATGTGCTGGTTCTTGGAGAGTTTTGATGGTCCGGCCTAACACAGTCCTCCTCCCTCTGTCACGTCCCTGGTAATGCTGAGTCAATGGAGGACTGGAAGGGTTAAACAGCCCCAACCTTAACAGTTACAGCAGTTACCGGTGATTGGTTAGTGGTAGTGAGGGGTTGATGAGTGCTGGCCTGAGTCTACAGTTACAGGAGACTGATTCTTTACAAGAGTCTGTGGTGTTCCCTGCTCAGCTCATCTTTAGTGGTCCGGGAAAGATGTTCATTGGTCTCATCGGTCTTAAAGCTCTCTCTCCAAAGCATCACTGTAGATAATTGAAACAGATTTGATCAAAGCTTCAACTGCTTTCTTTATCACCAGCTGGAAGACTGTCTAATAATCTTGCATTTTGTAGAACATTTATTGTTGACCAGACCACACACTAGAAGTTGAAGGGACGACGACGTTTCGGTCTGTCCTGTTCCATTTTCAAGTCGATTAGTCGATTAGTCAAGTCGAATCGACTTGAGAATGGTCCAGGACAGACCGAAACGTCGTCGTCCCTTCACCTTCTAGTGTGTGGTCTGGTCAACATACTTCAGCCACGTTATTGTGACTCCTCGCCTGCATAGAACATTTATGTCTATAATCTCATTTCTCATGTACTCACCTAGTTGTACTCACCTAGTTGTGCTTGCGGGGGTTGAGCTCTGGCTCTTTGGTCCCGCCTCTCAACTGTCAATCAACAGGTGTACAGGTTCCTGAGCCTATTGAGCTCTATCATATCTATACTTGAAACTGTGTATGGAGTCAGCCTCCACCACATCACTTCCTAATGCATTCCATTTGTCAACCACTCTGACACTAAAAAAGTTCTTTCTAATATCTCTGTGGCTCATTTGGGCACTCAGTTTCCACCTGTGTCCCCTTGTGCGTGTTCCCCTTGTGTTAAACATCTTCCATGTTGCTCAGTAACTTGCTCAACTCTCAACTCCCTAATTAGCCACTCCGGGTCTAGCCTGAACATGTTCTCCAAGTTTTTCTTTTCTACTTCCTAATCTACTTTAAGTTGCAGTATTCCTTGCAACTTGCAGGGAATACTTGTTAGTGATACGGGTCTGTAGTTTAACAGTTTCTGTCTTCCCTCCTTTCTTGAAGATTGGCATTACATGACCCATTTCCCAGCAGTCAAGAAGTTCTCCCGTTTCAAGAGAGGGATTAAATAATATGGCAAGTGGGCTGCACAATGCTTCAGCTGCCTCTTCTAGTATCCCTGGGGATACACCTCTGAGCTCTAGTGGCAAATCAGGTTCCAGCTTGAATACTTCCTGAAAGTTTGTCGTCAAGTCCTCACTTGTGTCAAGTGTGACAACTTGATCATTGACAATTATCTTCCTCCTGATGTGACTATGGAACAGTTGTGGCTCAAACATGGCCTTGTATGCACCGTTGTTCTCGTACTGCCTCTATGCCACTGCACTAGTTTCTGTGTACTCAGACCTGGCCTCTCTGTATGTATTGTGATGTCCTTCTGTTCTGTGTTCTCTAGACTTCTTCCATTCTCTTTTACTTCTTCTCTTTGCTTCCAGACACTCCCTGTTGACCCACGGGGTCGTATTGCTTCCCTTCACCCTTAGTGGTGGTAGAAATCTTTCTTCAGCTTCATTGACTTTGTCTGTTAATTTGTTATGTATTCTAAGACTGAAACGCAGCGGTCTCTGGCTTCAATGGAGTTTCATAGTCAAGGTTTTCAATGTCCATCTCACGCTGTGTGAAGACCAGATCCAGCCTGGCTGGTTGGTCACCTCCCCTACTTGTCTCCTCCCTAACATGCATCACGAAGTTCCTATCTACTACATCTACAACCTTTGCTCTCCATGTTTCATCTCCTCCTCTTGGGTCCATTGTTTCCCAGATGATTTGGCCCTGGTTAAAGTCTCCCATTACCAGAGCTTTCAGTCTCTAGGCTGTGTCTGGCACCCCATGGAGGAGGTTCAAACAAGCTCTGTGCGTACAAGCAAGCCTCTTATGCGGTACTGTGTCAGAGGCTTTCCGACAATTCAAAAAAATGCAGTCCGCCCAGCCTTCTCTTTCTTGCTTAATCTGTGTCACCTGATCGTAGAATTCTATTAAGCCTATCAGGCAAGATTTACCCTCCCTGAAGCCATGTTGGCGATTTGTCACGAAGTCCCTTCTCTCCAGATGTGTTACAGGTTTTTTCTCACGATCTTCTCCATCACCTTGCATGGCATATGTGTGTGTGTGTGTGTGTGTGTGTGTGTGTGTGTGTGTGTGTGTGTGTGTGTGTGTGTGTGTGTGTGTGTGTGTGTGTGTGTGTGTGTTTATCTGTCTCTCACCCAAGAGGCCAGTCAGTCCGCACCAATTTAGAAACGATAAGACGCCATCAACAGCATTATCATAACTTAACATGACACTGGAACCATCGAGCAGTTAAGGAGCTTAACTGGTCAGTCCTCCCAACACTGTGATGACTGACTCCCCAACACTGTGATGACTGACCCCCCAACACTGTGATGACTGACCTCCCAACACTGTGATGACTGACCTCCCAACACTGTGATGACTGACTCCCCAACACTGTGATGACTGACCCCCCAACACTGTGATGACTGACCTCCCAACACTGTGATGACTGACTCCCCAACACTGTGATGACTGACCTCCCAACACTGTGATGACTGACCCCCTAACACTGTGATGACTGACCCCCCAACACTGTGATGACTGACCCCCCAACACTGTGATGACTGACCCCCCCCAACACTGTGATGACTGACCTCCCAACACTGTGATGACTGACCCCCCAACACTGTGATGACTGACCCCCCAACACTGTGATGACTGATCCCCCAACACTGTGATGACTGACCTCCCAACACTGTGATGACTGACCTCCCAACACTGTGATGACTGACCCCCCAACACTGTGATGACTGACCCCCCCCAACACTGTGATGACTGACCCCCCAACACTGTGATGACTGACCCCCCAACACTGTGATGACTGACCTCCCAACACTGTGATGACTGACCTCCCAACACTGTGATGACTGACCCCCCAACACTGTGATGACTGACCTCCCAACACTGTGATGACTGACCCCCCAACACTGTGATGACTGACCTCCCAACACTGTGATGACTGACCCCCCAACACTGTGATGACTGACCTCCCAACACTGTGATGACTGACCTCCCAACACTGTGATGACTGACCCCCCAACACTGTGATGACTGACCTCCCAACACTGTGATGACTGACCTTCCAACACTGTGATGACTGACCTCCCAACACTGTGATGACTGACCTCCAACTTAGACAAGATCCTCTCCTGCTGCTGCTGCCACTTAGACAAGATCCTCTCCTGCTGCTGCTGCCACTTAGACAAGATCCTCTCCTGCTGCTGCTGCCACTTAGACAAGATCCTCTCCTGCTGCTGCTGCCACTTAGACAAGATCCTCTCCTGCTGCTGCTACCACTTAGACAAGATCCTCTCCTGCTGCTGCTGCCACTTAGACAAGGTCCTCTTCTGCTGCTGCCACTTAGACAAAGTCCTCTCCTCCTGCTGCTGCCACTTAGACAAGATCCTCTCCTGCTGCTGCCACTTAGACAAGATCCTCTCCTGCTGCTGCCACTTAGACAAGGTCCTCTTCTGCTGCTGCCACTTAGACAAAGTCCTCTCCTCCTGCTGCTGCCACTTAGATAAGATCCTCTCCTGCTGCTGCCACTTAGACAAGATCCTCTCCTGCTGCTGCCACTTAGACAAAGTCCTCTTCTGCTGCTGCCACTTAGACAAAGTCCTCTCCTCCTGCTGCTGCCACTTAGACAAGACCCTCTCCTGCTGCTGCTGCTGCTGCCACTTAGACAAGACCCTCTCCTGCTGCTGCTGCTGCCACTTAGACAAGACCCTCTCCTGCTGCTGCTGCTGCTGCTGCCACTTAGACAAGACCCTCTGCTGCTGCTGCTGCCACTTAGACAAGACCCTCTCCTGCTGCTGCTGCTGCTGCCACTTAGACAAGATCCTCTCCTGCTGCTGCTGCCACTTAGACAAGATCCTCTCCTGCTGCTGCTGCTGCTGCCACTTAGACAAGACCCTCTCCTGCTGCTGCTGCTGCTGCCACTTAGACAAGACCCTCTCCTGCTGCTGCTGCCACTTAGACAAGACCCTCCTGCTGCTGCTGCTGCTGCCACTTAGACAAGACCCTCTGCTGCTGCCACTTGCTGCTGCTGCTGCCACTTAGACAAGACCCTCTCCTGCTGCTGCTGCTGCTGCCACTTAGACAAGACCTCTCCTGCTGCTGCTGCTGCTGCTGCCACTTAGACAAGACCCTTTCCTGCTGCTGCTGCTGCTGCCACTTAGACAAGACCCTCTCCTGCTGCTGCTGCTGCTGCCACTTAGACAAGACCCTTTCCTGCTGCTGCTGCTGCCACTTAGACAAGACCCTGCTCCTGCTGCTGCTGCTACTGCCACTTAGACAAGACCCTCTCCTGCTGCTGCTGCTGCTGCCACTTAGACAAGACCCTCTCCTGCTGCTGCTGCTGCTGCTGCTGATGCCACTTAGACAAGACCCTCTCCTGCTGCTGCTGTTGCTGCCACTTAGACAAGACCCTCTCCTGCTGCTGCTGCTGCTGTTGCTGCCACTTAGACAAGACCCTCTCCTGCTGCCACTTAGACAAGACCCTCTCCTGCTGCTGCCTGCTGCTGCTGCTGCCACTTAGACAAGACCCTCTCCTGCTGCTGCTGCTGCCACTTAGACAAGATCCTCTCCTGCTGCTGCCTCTGCTGCTGCCACTTAGACAAGACCCTCTCCTGCTGCTGCTGCCACTTAGACAAGACCCTCTCCTGCTGCTGCTGCTGCTGCCACTTAGACAAGACCCTCTCCTGCTGCTGCTGCTGCTGCCACTTAGACAAGATCCTCTCCTGCTGCTGCTGCTGCTGCCACTTAGACAAGACCCTCTCCTGCTGCTGCTGCCACTTAGACAAGACCCTTTCCTGCTGCTGCTGCCACTTAGACAAGACCCTTTCCTGCTGCTGCTGCCACTTAGACAAGATCCTCTCCTGCTGCTGCTGCTGCCACTTAGACAAGACCCTCTCCTGCTGCTGCTGCCACTTAGACAAGACCCTCTCCTGCTGCTGCTGCTGCTGCCACTTAGACAAGACCCTCTCCTGCTGCTGCTGCTGCTGCCACTTAGACAAGACCCTCTCCTGCTGCTGCTGCTGCTGCTGCTGCTGCCACTTAGACAAGACCCTCTCCTGCTGCTACTGCCACTTAGACAAGATCCTCTCCTGCTGCTGCTGCTGCTGCCACTTAGACAAGATCCTCTCCTGCTGCTGCTGCTGCCACTTAGACAAGACCCTCTCCTGCTGCTGCTGCCACTTAGACAAGACCCTCTCCTGCTGCTGCTGCTGCTGCCACTTAGACAAGACCCTCTCCTGCTGCTGCTGCTGCTGCTGCTGCTGCCACTTAGACAAGACCCTCTCCTGCTGCTGCTGCTGCCACTTAGACAAGACCCTCTCCTGCTGCTGCTGCCACTTAGACAAGACCCTCTCCTGCTGCTGTTGCCACTTAGACAAGACCCTCTCCTGCTGCTGCTGCCACTTAGACAAGATCTTACTCTGATAGCCAGACATCGCAGTTCCACCATCGACCAATGATAAGGAAGGAAAAAAAGCAACATTCAGAGATCCTTAACACTCACTGATTTGCAAGCGGTGGACGGGCGGAGGAGGCAGAGGTTGTGGTCTTGGTATCAGCGTGGTCGGAGGGTCTTTGGGTTCGTCTAACGATCGTAATCTAAGAATAAAGGCAGTTGATTCTCCTGGAAAAGGTTCTTGATAGAGGAGTTCCTTACATACCTGACCAAGAGCCTCAACTAGATAACGGAATCATCTGATGTGGAAGTCGATTAGAGTTTGTCTGATTGGGCTGTCGACTGAGCTCGATTACGCAACGTATCTGATTCACCTGGCGGGAAGATGGCCAATCAGGGAGGCAGCTTCTCTGTCCGACCAGTCGCCAAAGACGAAATCTCCAGGTTTCGTAAAGTTGCTGAAATAATTGAGTGATACGGGACCTGTCTGACGAAGATTCTGAAGTTAAAAAATGTTCTTTTTCGACGCGTGAAGAAAACTTCAGGAAGAAGCATTCTGATCTCTGAAGCAAGTATCACTAAGACACAAGTCTCGTCCTTGTGGTAAGAGAGGTCCAGGGTAAGAGGTTCCGGTCCTCCTTGTGAGACAGCTTGGAGAAGCTCCCACAAGGACCCGGAGCTCAGCCAGTCAGGATGGTGTAAAATATTACAATCAGAAGAGTGTGGACACGTGGATACATGTAATCCTTCAATGTGACACTGGCCGACACGGTGTCGCGCCACCACTTGTCATTCCTCGCCCGCGTCACCTGGCCAAGGTGACAACGACACACCGACAGCCTGTGGACCTTGAAGGTTGTTAAATGTCGGAGTGTCAGTGTGGTGGTCCTTGAACCCCCTGCCTTTCTGTCTGTCTGTCTGTCTGTCTCTCTCTCTCTCTCTCTCTCCCTCCCTCCCTCCCTCCCTCCTAATGACACTACATGTAACAGCTGTTATCCAACATCAACTTAACAAGCACCTGACCGTTTAGAAAGCTGTATTTCACAAGGTTCCTACAAGTTTCAACTGTTAGGTTGACATGTTATTCACAGCCAAACGAGCAGTCAAACGAGCAACTCCAAGTTGGGATTAATCAACATCATTGCAGTCTACATTTCCTGTACTGAGTATGTTCAGCTGGTAGTGCATGCGGGGGTTGAGCTTCGGCTCTTCAGTCCCGGTTCTCAACTATCAATCACCTGGTGCATAGGTTCCTGAATACATCTGTACCTCAGTGTACAGTGTACCTCTGTGGTACACTGTAAAACACCTCTGTGGTACAGTGTAACACGCCTCTGTGGTACACTGTAACACACCTCTGTGGTACACTGTAACACACCTCTGTGGTACACTGTAACACGTCTCTGTGGTACACTGTAATACACCTCTGTGGTACACTGTAACACGCCTCTGTGGTACACTGTAACACGCCTCTGTGGTACACTGTAACACGCCTCTGTGGTACACTGTAACACGCCTCTGTGGTACACTGTAACACGCCTCTGTGGTACACTGTAACACGCCTCTGTGGTACACTGTAACACGCCTCTGTGGTACACTGTAACACGCCTCTGTGGTACACTGTAACACGCCTCTGTGGTACACTGTAACACGCCTCTGTGGTACACTGTAACACGCCTCTGTGGTACACTGTAATACACCTCTGTGGTACACTGTAACACGTCTCTGTGGTACACTGTAATACACCTCTGTGGTACACTGTAACACGTCTCTGTGGTACACTGTAATACACCTCTGTGGTATACTGTAACACGCCTCTGTGGTACACTGTAACACGCCTCTGTGGTACACTGTAACTGATCAGTTTAGTGGCTTTCAAAGTCATTAAGGACTACCATCGTCACCATTAAGGACTATAATCGGAGCTTCTGTACCGTTGTGTGGCCCTTAGAGGGGTCCTGGTGTAGAGAATGTTATACCAATAGTGTGTTGTTGTCTCTTATATCTGAAGTAACATGGCGGCTCACCTTCCTTCCTTTACAGGATTTTTCAAGTTTTTTTCAATCAAGAAAAGAAAATTAGAGAAGATTCGCGCAAGAATCACTGATCTCTTTGTTTCTGTCATGTAAACTGTATGCCAGTAGGAAAACTGCTACCAATATATATATGTATATTATATATAAACTCGAAACTCCACACCCCGCAAGGATTCGAATCCAGACAGCCAGGAGCACTATACAACATGGCGTACGTGGTTCCTTAACCACTCGACCACCGTGACTGTACAAAAGTCATTGGTAGCCGAGGCTATATCCCCAACGACCCGACAGCACTTGGTGGTAAGCTTGCTCCTGGCTGTCTGGGTCCTTGTGGAGTATGTGAAAAATAATGAATGCTAAACGCGTCTTCGGCTCAATTCGTCTTCATCAGAGCATCTTAAGAGTTATATGTATTTATATACATATCAACTGTTTACCTATCCATGTATCTAGCCAGCCATTAATCCCTCCCACAGGCCATCAGACAGGTGCCAGCTCCTGTCCCCCGACACAGTTTCTTCCTTGTAATTTTGTGGGAGAAAAATAGTTACCTATGAGACGAAGTCGAGGGACAGAAGCTAGTTCTTGGGCTCCAGCCTCTCGTTCCATGTCGTAGTTCATCTCTGTAGTTTTGGAGAGGTTTATAAATTAAAAGACATCGAACCTCTCCATAAAAAAATATAGAAAAAGTTGAGAAGTTTGAGACGACGCCCGCGCCTGAACTGTGAGGAAGAGGCTATAAGAAAACAAGAGACTGAAGGAACTAAACCTGACGACGGTTGATAAAACGAAGAGACACGAGACATGATAGAGACATGTAAAATACTTATGCGATTTGACAGAGAGGAAATTCAATTAATACCAATAGAACATGGGGCAGGGATGGAAGCTTTAGAGTGAGAAGAGTCATAGAGATGTTAAAACTTTTAATTTACATTAAGATTATTAGGAAAATGTAAATGAAATAAAGGAGCAGTTTGTGGAATGAAAGTAATTCATAATATTATAAGTAAATATGTAACGGAAATAGGCCAGGATTCATTCCTTAACAAGACTGGTGACTAGACAGGCGGGGTCCAAGAGCTAATGCGCTCTTCTGCAGGCACAAATATGAGAGTACACACACACACACACACACAGTCATTTGAGTAAGGAATCGTTCAGAACCCTGTATACCACTTATGTCAGACCAATCCTGGAGTATGCAGCTCCAGCCAGGAGTCCATACCTAGTTAAACACAAGACAAAGTTAGAGAAGATTCAAAGGTATGCCTCTAGACTCGTCCCGGAACTGAGAGGTATGAGCTACGAGGAAAGGCTAAAGGAGCTGAACCTCACGTCCCTGGAAAACAGAAGAGTAAGGGGAGACATGATCACCACCTACAATATTCTCAGGGAATTGACAAGCAGGACAGGTGGAAACTTAGTACCCAAATGAGCCACAGGGACATTAGAAAGAACTTTTTCAGTGTCAGAGTAGTTAACAGATGGAATGTATTAGGCAGTGATGTGGTGGAGGCTGACTCCATACACAGTTTCAAGTGTAGATATGATAGAGCCCAAAAGGCTCAGGAACCTGTACACCTGTTGATTGACGGTTGAGAGGCGGGACCAAAGAGCCAGAGCTCAACCCCCGCAAACACAACTAGGTGAGTACACACACACACACACACACACACACACACACACACACACACACACACAACACTTGCTAGGGTCAACACTTGCAGCAGAGGAGCTCCAGCATATTTCAACAATCCTAAGTATTGTAGTACAGGTTGATGGTAGTGAGTGGTGTCCCAGAGAACATAAAGGTATAGTGCTCTTGAAAAATAGGTGAGATAACAGGAAAGTGCTAAGGGAAGTGAAAATTGGATGAGAAAAAGTTGCCCTAGTGTTTACAGTGCAGAGAAGAACATTCAAGATGGCCACTGGCAAGGGGAAAAACAAAACAGAGCTTGATTTTGAGGGATTCAATGAAGAAAGCATTGATATTAGTAGTCTACATAACAAGTTGGTAAATTTAGATACTATAGTGAACTCTCATGTAGAAATAATTAGTAAATTGAAAGAAAGTAATGACCATTTGAATAGCAAAGTTTTATGTCTTGAGGGTTTAGTGAAAGACTTGCGCAAGGATAAGAATCAATTGGAAACAAATTGCAAAGCCATGGAAGAAGAAAATAAACTCTTAAAAATAGCTTTGGAAGAAGTTAAAGTAAATTTAAACATAAATGACTACAATAGGTTAGGCAAGGAAATTCAACAGGAGAAACAGCTTTTGTCAGCACAGATGGAGGAAGTTACACAGGGAATAGAACAGTGCAAGAAAGATATGCAACTCACTTATGCACAAGTGGCCAAGGAGAAGGAAAAAATAGAAGAAGCAGTAAAGGAAGTCAAACACTGCAGCAACCAAGATAAAACAAACATTAGGCTAGAAGTGAGGAAAGAATTGGCATCTAACCCGAAGTTGGTGCAAAACACAGTTGATCGGAGTAAGTCCCTGATCATTTTTGGCTGCAAAGAAAAGGCGATAACATCTAGGTCAGAAAGAGCTGTAGAAGAAGCTAAAGTAGTAGATAAAATTGTTGGCCTCGTGGAAGGTCTTACAAACAGAGAGAATGTGTGCGACTACAGGAGAATAGGCAGGTACGTAAAAGGGAAAGATCGACCTTTGAGGATCACCCTAAACGGTGCCAAACAGATGGAAGAAGTACTAAGGAATGCTAGAAAATTGCAAAGGGATGAGGATGGGAAAGGGTGGTCGTTAAGACGAGATCTTTCAAAAGAAGATAGAGAGAAGCTGAAACTGAACCTCGCCGAGGCAAAACATTTAAATGAGAGCAGGAATGAAGAAGAAATAAATTCTTTTTTCTACAAAGTGATAGGGGTAGGCAAACCAGTAAAGTGGTACATAAAGGCAAACCAACAAAATCAATAGAGAGAGGGGGAGTGAAGAATAAGGAGAGGGGGAACAAGTTCCTGAAGATTGCATACA